TATAGCACTTACCAATATATATTTGTAAATTTTCAATCTGGTGTGAATTCAGGAATGTGCAAAAATGACAATTTGGACTTACTTCAGTGTAGTGTTTGGTTGATGAATACTGAAGCAGAAAACATACAATGCAAGAGATATAAAAGGAGATGCCAATAAAAATGTTTGAATGTACCAACCTATTATATGTCTTGTGCATCATTACTGTATATACGGCCAAAGCTCAGAAATCTCAGCAGCCTATGTAATGTGAGAAGTTCACAAGGTCAGAGGAATGGAGAACTGTGGCTCTGCTGCTTTTTTTGTTGGATTGATTTTTGCCTGGTGCTGGGGATCGAATCTAGGACTTTGTGCATGCTGGGCAAGAGCTATACCACTGAGTTACACCCTCAGCTCTGGATTCACTGCTTTTTAAACTCCCAGTTCTGTCACGTCTCTGAAGAAACTGGTCTATTCTACTATCTGCTACTTAGAAATCCACCTTATCATTGCCTAATGTCCAGGCTTTGGCCTTGATCTTTTTATGACAGGACTTGGAATATCTCTCCTTTTCTGTGTTTGTCTCACAAGTAAGAAACTGTTAATGAATGTTAACTTAGGGTGTTTTTTGACAAGGTTGGCCATGATCTACTTCAATGAGAAGGCAGTCTTTCTACCTACGCTGTTTGGAAGGAGAAATACCCTAGGGCATATATTCAAAGAATGAATGGAAAGGAACTAAAAAAGTTATAGCTAAGTGGAATCATGAAGAGGTCAAAGGTGTTTCAAGTTAAGGAGCTCTGTATATACCTCAGCAAATATGAAACTAGATACAGAAACCAAGCAATGAGTCCAATGCTCTGCAATAATCCCTCCTTCTCTCCCCTAAGCTAAACTATCTGATTCTCTACAAAAATATGGCAAAAAGCCTGTCCTATCTCAGAGCTAGTTATTATAGGCTTTCAAGACATATGGTCTATTTTATTTTATTTATTTATTTTTGGTACTGGGGATATTGAACTCGGATCCTTGTGCTTGCAAAGCAGGCAGCAGAACCACTAAGCTAAATCCCCAACCCCATATGGTCTATTTTAATACTTCTGAAACACCCCAAGGAGCAAATCCTTTACATGATGTAGCCCTTTATTGTTCCTGGTCATAGAAAATTACTCATTCTAGGAGAATGGCACAGCAAGGGCCCAAAAAGGGGATGCATATAAACGATGTTTGGGTTACACTGATTGGGTGGTCTCTTTTGGCTGGAACATAGGAAAACTGAATGGCAAAGCTTAGAATCTGTGACTCAGGCTGGATTCTGAAGAGCACTAAATATCAGGGCCTTTGAAAGCAGGAGAATGATGAAGCCAAGATGAAATCAGGAAATAAAGTAGATTAATTTAGTTATTTACTTTTTTCAATTTTTCTTTAATAACTGTAGTCACATTCAAGGGTATCTTCTCCAAATTCCTATTGATGTGGTAATAATTGCTACCTCACAGACTGATGAGAGGAGACATGGGATTATCTGCTGGCCTACCCAAAGCAGCTACACTATGTGGGGCACATGGCAGGCACTTAGTGAGGATCCTGGAGATCTTTAGAGGACAAGTACTGTTTTCATTTATGTCTCTCCAAATCTGACATATTCCAATGGGTGTACAAGAAATCACTACAAGTACCTTTTATTGAGAGCCCAAGATAAAATCTATCATCTCAGTATCAATAAATTCTAAAAATCTTCACAGAAAAAATAGTGTTGGTCAGGGTTGTGATGTAGCTCGGTGGTGGAGTACCTGCCCAGCATGTGCAATGCCATGAGTTCAATGCCCAAGACCACAAAACAAAACAAAAAAGTATTGGTCAATTCATTATTTAACTTGTTAGAACTGTAAGCAATCTAATCCATGACTATGTATGGGTGAAATTGGGAGCTCATTAACAATACATGGCTATAGGAGAAATGATAAAACTGAATAGTCCAAGATAGTAGAGAGGTGAATTCCCCTTGAAGTTGATACCGTTTCAGCTTCAGGGCCCCTTAATTTGTACAGGTACCATTGAAGGCCTTTACAACAAGTTAGGGAAGGTAAATTCTAAGATGATATCAAATGGTCTTCACACTTTTGTAATTCCTTTCTCTTTTTGTGGGGGGTACCGGAGATTGAACTCGGGTCCTTGCGCTTGCAAAACAGCCAGAGGAACCACTGAGCTAAATCTCCAGCCCTCCTTCTTGATTATAAAGGAAACATCAATATCACTCCCATGATAATGTTTATTTAGCAAGAAAGATTTTTCAGATATAATTCAGTTGCTAAATCATTGAGTTAATCAAAAGTATCACTATAGGTGGGCCTAACCTAATAAGGTTAGCCCTTAAGGGGACTGGCAATTCTTTAACTCAGATTTGAAGCATGGAAGGAATTCAATATTCAATGTGAGGGAGATTTTTCCCCCCTAGATAGCTGGCTTTGGTGACATATGGGACCATGTGGAAAGGAATTAAAAGTGATGTCTATGAGCTGAGAATGACCCCTGCTAGAAGGCAAGAAGGAAAAATAGGACCTGAGTTTCTTTCATATGCAGCTGAATTCCTCCACAATCATGAAATTTGCAAAAGGACCCCAACTTGCTAATAAGAATGCTACCTGACTCATTGATTTTAGTTTTATAAGGCCCTGAGCAAAGAACCCAATCATATCATGCTTGGAATTCTGACTTATCCAACTGTGAGCCAAATTGTGGTATTGTGTTACATGGCACTAGAAACCTGATGTATGGGCCATAATTGTGTATGATGTGTTTTTGTAAAGTTAGCAAAATTGAGAATATTGACCACAATTTAAGACTACTGGCTCCTTCTACTCAAACTTGCCCTACTGTGAGATGGATATGGGCATGGTATTTTCCTAGCATATCATAAGGCCCTGGGTTCCATCCTCAATAATGATGAATAAATAAGAGGAAAAAAAAAAGAAAAAAAAAGAGAATATTAAGAATATTTAGGTTGGGCACACATCTATAATCCTAGCACTCCTGGGAGGCTGAGGCAGGAAGGTCACAAGTTCAAGCCCAGCTTGGGCAATTTAGTGACTTAGTGAAACCTTGTCTCAAAATTTAAAAAAAAAGTGCTGGGAATTATCTCACTGTGAAGGGTCTGGATTTAATTCCCAGCACTGCATTAAAGAAAAGGAATATTTGGGATTTATCTACAACAGAAAAATTGAAATCCTTTGAAGTCTTAAACTCATTTAAGAAAAAAACTTGTTGACAAAGATTAATAGTTAAAGTAGTTTTCTCAAATTTGACAATATTAAGTTTACACATCACTAGCAATAAGCTAGAAAGCTGAAACTTTTAAAGGTCAATCATAAAAATTTGATTAATCATGCCAAAGGTAAGACTGAATTGTCTTTAAATTTCTTCCAGGGAACATGCTGAAAAAAAAAATTCTATGAAGAAAAGCTCAAAGCGTTTTTAGCCAAAAACTGTAGGAGAAACCAATCATTACAGAGGTATGCCTGGCAGTTAATTATGAAAATTTCATTTTTCTGGGAATTGGGATTTTTTTTTTTGTACCAGGGATTGAACTTGGGAACTTGTGCTTGCGAGGCAGGTGGCAGAAACACTGAGCTAAATCCCAGGACTGGAATTGGGATCTTTTTAATCTGGCAGCTATTCAAAATCTGTAATTTGTGATTTCTCATTATAAATAAATATTCCTTTATACCCAGCTGCCTGAATTGCCATTATCTTTTTAATATCGTTTTTCTTAAAGAAGGTTCCTCCAATTGTAAAATTTAGACCCCTCAATCTGGATCTGTCCCCGAGGTGGTAAGGAACAGGAGCTCTTTGGCTTCAATTGCAAGGAGTAATATGGTTGTGGATATGATAGAGAACTGGAAAATACAGCAATTTCAGAGGTTGAATTAATACAATTTTTGAAGACCAGAACATTGAGACTAGCTTTTAGAGTCTGAAAATTGAAGATGTCCTTTGTACTGTGGGATTATGTGGCCACAGTGGCTGACTTCATGGAAAAGCCTCATACACACACAAACAGGCGCCCCTCATAACAGAGTATTTCAGCTACTTTGTACGTCTGTATTTGTGTTATCACCAAGTGGTGAAAACAGGTGGCTGAGTCGTTTACCCACATGCACACTTTTATCTACTTCTTTCTTCCCAAATGAAAATTGATAGCTCTTTTCTATTTTCTAATGACAAACAGTGTAGACTGATAACAACAACAGTAGCAACAATAGTAACAACCATGAGGAACAGAACAGGCAAACATTGAAAAAAGCTAGTAAAAATATTTCACTCCTATTCCCAGCCTCATTTCAGCCTCTGGACCAACTACAAGGGAAAAAATACAACTTAAAATTCTGGAGCAGGGGAGGTAGGGAGTTTAGGGAATAGGAGAGAAAAAAAAGGAGACATGGTTTATTAACTCCAAGAGGACTATCTTCCCTGATGATCTGGGAAAGGTGAACAGAAATTTCAGGAAGACAATATACTTCTAGAGTCTGCATCAGACAGAAAGGATTAACCATGTAAAGCAGGCAGTGGGGAGGGGTGAGCCAGCTCCTGTTGAAATACAACTGGGTTAATTGGGGGCCTGAGCTGACTGGATAACAGATTTCACTGGACAAAGCGCAACATGGATTTAAGTCACTATGTAGTCTGAGTCTTCTTTCCCACCTGAGGGCCATCTCTCTGTTGCCTTGGAGGCAGGCAGACAGGCAAGCTTAGGTGCACTAGGCAGAAAAGGAGAAGACTGCTTACTCTGAATTTGACAAGGTTTGGATGAGCAGAAGAAGCCCTTAAAGTTAGGCAAAAGAGAAGATGAAGGAGATCAAGATTATATTCTAAGTATATCCTTTTTTGCCCCTGATCCTATCCATTTGGGGCAGTGGAGGACATAGGGGAGGGATTTGAGAAAGGGATGGTAGTAAGTTTTCAGTACTAGCTCTCAGTTTCATCAAAAGTAGGCTGGCTTCTAGCCCAGGGATGATGGAGGGAGAGGAGGGGGAGGAGGAAAATGCCCTGTATATCTACAAGTTGGAGTTAGGAGGGGAACTACGTAAAAATCCCTAAAATGGAAAAGAAAAGGTAAACAGACACTGCAGCAGGCCTTGTATTATACTTCTCGCATCACGGCCATTCCTTCTGTCCATTTTGATTCAGAAAATGGTGATCAAGGAGGACTGCTAAGGAAGTGTGAAACCTTATGTAAGTGCCAGCTTCCTATTGCAGGGGAGGTAGGCATGCTGTGTGAAAGAGGAGAAAGAGGTAAGTACCATGGATCCCTGTCGGGTGGCTTTGGGAGTGGCTGGTGTCTGTATCTGCCAGAGCTCAGAGCAGAGGGACACTATAGCACGTACTTTCCAAGACTGCATTCCCTACAATCCGGCCTCAACTCCCCATTCCACTTGGGAAAAAATCAGTGGTTTAACACAGAAAAAGATTACTCTTAGCTCACACTAAATGTCCAACATGTGTTAGTGAACATTATGGGTGAATAGGGCTGTACTTTTCATGGTCTCTTAGGGATCCAGATTAACAGCTTCCACAGCATGGAACATTGCTCATCACCGGGCCTGGGAGTTATGAAAATATCTCACCCATTATACAATAGTCTAGAAATAATATGTTCCTGCTGTTTACAGCAGATTAACTAAAACTAATCAAGTAGCTTCACTTAACAGCAAGGGGTAGGGTGGCAAGGGACTAGGAAAAATAGCTTTCTATGCAGAAAGACTGTAAACTATAAAGTGAGAAAAAGAAAAACCTATAAGAAAATATTCATAAGAACTCAAGGGGGAATGCTTTTCTAAAACACTATAACAAAACAGAAATTAAAAATCTGGAAGAAAAAGTGACAAGCTAACAGAAAATAAAGTTTCAATGAAGCAAAGCAAAAATGAATGTGTCTTTTCCTTTTTGTTTTCTGTGTGATATTCTGGGAGCTCTTCATGCCTTCAGGCTACTTTTCATGGCTGTGGCAGCTGGAAGAATGCTTCTGTAGCTGGAATTCCAGCTGAAGTGAAATCAGGTTTAGAAGCTCACTGTGCCACTTTTACAAGACAACGGATCTAGACTTTTTTTTTTTTTGCAGGTTGTTGGAGGGAATTCTCAGGCAGGTTTTTTTTTTTTTTTTGCAGGTTGTTGGAGGGAATTCTCAGGCAGGATACTGTGGAATCACCCAAGCCACACTCCTTTCCTGGGTAGGTCTGCCCTTGGTTTCTTTGCTGCAACCTGCAGTGGGCACCAGGCCCTCCAGGGCTGATAGCTGAACTGACTTGGACAGATTTACCTAGAGGAGGATGCTGCCTCATTGCAAGTCAGAGCATGCTGACTTTGCCTTCTTTTCCATTCTCCATTGGGGGTCATTTTTTTAGAGGAAAAGGTAAAGCTCCAAAGGTTCCTAACTGGAAACACTGGTTGGACATGTGATTGAGATACCAGCTTTCTGTATGAGTTGAGGTCTCTGAGCAAACAGATGTCTGTACTGGGTCTGATCAGGTAACTTGGGGTTAAAGAGAAGGGGCTGACCTTTCCTCAGGGTCCAGTGCAGTACAGCCTCCAAAACTACTGGGACCAAATTGAGGTTAGCCAGCAGAAAAGACCTCATCCACCCCTCTCCCACACACCTTGCTCAGACTCCCAGAAGGGCCTGGGATGTGCCCTGACCTGTTTTGTTAGTTCTGTGATGACTTAGCTGTATGTCTTCCTGGTGCAGGGCAACTGATGTCTGAGTCAGCCCTGGTTCAGAAGTACAGGAAACCCTGGGTGAAGGGAGCCTGCAATGACATATGGTTCTACAACTCAGGCGGAAAGAGATGTAGAGTCCTAGCTGAACATTCAAATACTCACATGTACTGATGGCCTAGTCTCTGACTTGGGAAACAGGAGAGTCAAGCTATGAGTTGCTTTTTAAGGCATTAATGGTGAAGGGTCAGCGGCACCCATAGGTTGTTCTCTGAACTCCTTGCCACTAACTTGCTCACATAGAAGGCTATTCAAATCACATGCCCAAGCAATGACTTGCCTCCAGCTCCAGAGCAGAACACATTGAAGGTTCAGGATCTAAGATCCAGGACTGTACAGATAAAGCCATATGATAACTATCTGCCTGTTCTTAGGAGACAGTACATAATAATGGGAGACAGTGTCTACGGTAAGACAGTGTAGAAGGAACCATGCTCAGGGTCCTAGCAACATGTTTAGGTCAGCATAAAATATGTGGATGACTGCACAGAAATAGTCACTTGATGTACCCTTACAATGGTGATTCATAAAGAGGCCACTCATTTTCCAAACCGCTCCCATACCATGTCTGAGCAGAGATGGGCGGCTAGATCCAGGCCTTTACTTCTTGATGGAGAACTCTGTTTATATTCTCATTGGTATGGCCTAGGTTCTCACTGATGCACTGTAATCTGAGTTTTTTTCCTGCCTAGTTCCTCTTCCTTCCCTTTCCTTCCCCAAGTGTGAGATGGGCATCATAATCTGAAGACTCTCCTTATTTATTTTCTCTCCCCTTTATATTTTATAATTGCTTCTCTAACAAATCTGTTGTGCATGTTGAATTTTTGTCTTAGCATCTACTTCTAGGAGGGCCTGAACAAATATAAGGTAGAGCATATCAAAGGCATGACTTTCAAGGAAAGAAAAGCACAGTAGAGAAGTAACTGACATTTTCTTGAGTACCCACTAAGGCCCAAATGCAGTGTTCGGTGTTTTAGATTGGCTCACTCATTTTAATTCCTGTAACAATTCTATGAATTCTACTGAACTTTGCTATAGCTATACTAGTTTTCTTTTGCTTTGTATTTGCCTGGTATATGTTCTTTTTTTTTTTTTTTTGGTGGTGAATGCTAGAGATCGATCCCAGAACCTTCAGCATGCTAGGCAGGCACTCTACCACTGCTCCTTTCCTCTACCTCAGCTCCTTTATCTGTTTTACTTCAAACCTTTCTGAATACTTTTAATTGCATCTCTGAGAATCTGTGCCAGTTTTTTTTCTCTTTTTAAAATCTGAGGCTTTATTTTAAAATGTGAGTTTACATATATTTATCAACATTCTATTTGTATTTCTACTTTCACTTTCTTACTTCATGTTTTTTATTTACCATTCATTATCTTTACACTTTCCCAATCCCTTCTTTCCTGTTGGTCTAATGAATTTTTTGTTTGTTTGTTTGTTTGTTTTTTTGGCACCGGGGATCAGGACCTTGCATTTGTGAAGAAGGCAGAGGCACCACTGAGCTAAATCCCCGGCCTAGGACTAATAAATTCTTTTTTGGCATTTACACATATTATTTTAATCTTTTAATGTTTATCCTAAGTTTTTCCAAATTGTTATTTTTTATTATATTTAAAAATTATTCATTTGTAGTACTAGAAAGCCAGGGCCTTGTGTATGCCAGGCAAGTATTCTATCACTAAGCTACATCCCCAACCTTTTTAAATGTTGACATAGGGTCTCTAATTTGTTTACGATGGTCTTGAACTTCTAATCCTCCTTCCCCAGCCTCGTGAGTAGCTGGGATTGTAGGTATGTGCCACTGCACTTGGCCCTTTGTATTTTTCAAACAAAATCTAAGATATCTCCAACTGCTATCCTCTTCCATGTACAGATTTTAACATTTTAGAACAAACATATAAGTTATGATAACTAACATTTCTATGAGACAAACTATTTTTCATTATCATTATTTTAGTTCAGTAAATTATGCACTTTAAAATATATTACCTGCTTTAAATCTAGGAAACATCAGTTAAGTGTTACCTCTCTAATGAATCAGAAAGAAAAACGTGAAGAGAACTCAATTTTTTTTGGTAATATTAGGGATTGAATCCAAGACTTTGGACTAAACTATATGCCCAGGCTTTTAAAATTTATTATTTTAGATGGGGTCTTGCCTGGTTGTTAAGTTGCCTGGGCTGGGCTCAAATTTACAATCCTCATTCCTCAGCCCCACAGAGTGTTGAGATTACAGGCATGCACCACTTCAATTCTTAATGGTTTCCTTAAAGACCCTAAGAGTCTAGAGACCTCAGGTTGAGAACTATAGTTCTTAGGAATATACTCTTCACCTTTTCCTTTTGAGAAGGGAGAAAGAAGAGAACTGTCATACAGGAATATTTACTCTATTCTAAAAATGTGCCTTAGGCAAGAAAGCCTTATATTTAGTGGCTACCTTCTTTTTCAGATATTTTATTGGTATCATGTGAGTTATTTCACATGATTTTGTATCAATCCAAATTCATTCTTCTGAATGGAAAATGGGGATATTTACATTGTTGCTGATGATACTGATGACAATAGAAAATAACAATTCTAAGCTGGAAGGCTGAGGCAGGAGGATCAAAATTTTGAGCCCACTCTGAGCAACTTAACAACTCAGTAAGACACTTGTCTCAAAATAAAAGATCAAAATAAATAAATAAATAAAAAGATTTAAAAAAGGCTGGGGATGTAGCTCAGCGGTAAGGCCCGGGGTTCAATCCACAACACTTTCCAAAACAAATAAAGATAATAAATACCACCCCACACAATTACAATAGCCATTTATTATATTAGCTGGTATTAAATGCCATGGGAGTAAACAGACTCTGAAAACAACTTTTAGAAAAGAAGTCATTAAGCTATGTGAACCTACATTATCTGTATAGTTTTAATATAAGAAACTTGCTAAATCAATAGATTTAGCTAAGAATTTGGATACATTTTCTTACAAGTGCCCTCTTTTAAAAAATAATAGGATTGTTCAGTCTAAGGCCTAATAAAGTACTTTAGGTTTTTCTTGAATATTTTTAGGACTTTTAAAAAGAATAAAATAAAGGAGTCTGGCATGCATGGTGGTGCAAGCCTGTAATTCCAGCACCCTGGGAGGCTAAGGTAGGAAGACTGTAATTTCAAGCCCAGTATTGGCAATTCAGTGACAGTGAGACCCCGTCTCAGGGGGGAAAAAGGCTGAAGGGCTGAGGATGTAGCTTAGTGTAAAGGCCCTGGGTCCAATCCCCAGTACTGCAAAAACAAACAAACAAATAAGGGATCAGTCAAAATTGGAAATATTCTATGATCTTAATTGGAAAATACTAAATTATCAGCCATTATTTCTCTTCCCATTTCCAGCAGAGATCAAGGAGAGGGATGTTAGTGGCAGACCTAGAAGTAGAAGCTGAGTGAAGCCAATGGATTTGCTTAAAAATTGGCAAGGAGTATATTTATTGGTAAAATCAAGCCAGATGGCCCTGGGTGGGAATGGAGGACACTGGAAGGTGTCAAAAGAGAGATCACGATCTATATGTCTTTTCAGTAGCAGAGACATGAGCATTTCTCTACGTCAGGATACAAGGAAGACTCTGTGGTAGGCCTGGGAAGCTGACCACCTGCTCTTGCCAAAGATTCACCTACCCAGAGAATAAGATGGAAGAAAGAGGGATAAAGGATCTAAGGATATCTTGCCAGTTCCAAAAATGAGTGTATTATTTCTAACCAGTGTCTGATAACAGCAGGGATCGCCTTAGGCTTGGTACTAAGTTAAATCCATAGAATGTTCGTACAACTAATGGAGATGGGGCATATATGATAATAATTGAAGAAGATTTCCATATCAGAGTTAAATATAGCTTATGTTTATGTTATTGTAAGGCAATGCAAATGGGATATTTCTTATATTACTTAGCATATAAACTGAATTTCATTTTCATTTGGTAAATGTCCTATTTAAAGTTCCAATATCACATCCTTATTTTAGTGTGCTTTATGAATATCACAAGCTGTTTCACATCTGTCCCTTGAAAGGGACAGGAGTCCTTTTTTAAGAAGTAATTTAGTTGGTCAGGCTTTAGATCCCACAGAGAACACAAGTTTGAGAGATTTCCAAGCCGGCCCACAGGGTCATTTATCAATCACCAATAAATAATTTGAATCACTTGAAACCATCTGACACCAGAAATTATCCTACTAACATGAAGCACTCACTGTGACTTAAAGTCCAAGAAGTACTTGTCTTCATTAAACACACATTTGATCAACCAGTTACAGACAGCTGATATTTAGGTAATGAGTAAGACACATGAAACTATAAACAAAACCCCTTTCTTCTTTACATGAGTCCCTTCTCCTGTCACTCCCCTCTGTCTACCCACTAACCAAAATGGAGAAGAATCTGAAAAGGAATAATCAACACATGATGGGTCTAGTCATTACACAATGGTATAACAGTCATGATGTTGCCAGTCTAGAAGCTCAGCTGGGTTTTACCGCCCTGACAAATATACTGACTAGATGCTTAAAAGGTGTTCAAGTAAATGACTTAGGAGTACCTATCCTAATAGGGTGACAGTACTGTTAGGAAATATTTCATTATTTTAAGTATTTGTCTAGGGTAAAGTAATCTACTTTGTTTACTTGCAATTTGCACTACTTTTTAAAATTAGCCTGTTTATGATATGTGGATCAATGAAACATATCAGAGGATACAGAAACATTCTCAGACACATTCAGCTATTTGATCTTTGACAAAGGGGCCAAAAGCATATGTTGGAGAAAAGATAGCCTCTTCAACAAATGGTGCTAGGAAAACTGATATCTGTTTGCAGAAGACTGAAAATTGAACCATATCTCTCACCATTTACTAAATTAAAATCAAAATGAATCAAAGATCGAAACATTAAAACATAAACATTGAACCTACTAGAAGATAACATAGGTAAAACACTTGAAGTCATATGTATAGGAAAGGATTTCCTAAAGAGAACCTCAACTGCACAAGAAATAATAGCAAGAATGAACAAATGGAATCACATCAAATTACAAAGCTTCTGACAGCCATCAACTAATACAGTGAAGGGACAACCTATGGAATGGGAAAAAAAATTTGCAAGCTATTCCTCAGAAGACTAATATCTGAACTCAAAAAATTAGACCACCTAAAATAAAAGACCCAATCAAGAATGGGCAAATGAAATGAACAGACATTTCTCAGAGGAAGAAGTACAAATGGCCAACAAATAATATGAAACAATGTTCAACATCCCTGGCTATTAGAGAAAATGCAAATCAAAACAACACTAAGATTCCATCTTATACAAGGAGTGTTGGCACATGCCTGTAATCCCAGCACTTGTGAGGGTGAGGTAGGAGGATTGCCACAAGTTCGAGGCTAACCTGGACTACATAGTGAGTTCAAGGTCAGCAACACCATGTCTCAAAAAGAAAAAAAAAAAAAGGGCTGGGGACTTAGCTCAGTGGTGATGCCGCCAACTGCCCTCAAGCTCAAGGACCCGAGTTCAATCTCCAGTAACAAAAAAATGAAAAAATAAAAAAATTTCACTTTATACCAGAAAGAATAGCAATCAAAATTGCAATCATCAAGGTACCATACTACAGCAATACATGCATACCGATGTTTATAGCAGCACAATTCATAATAGCTAAATCCTACATGCAGCCTATATGTCCATCAACAGACAAATAGATAATGAAAATGTCGCATCTATATATAATGGAATACTACTTGGCTATAAAGAATGATAAATTTGAGACATTTGTGTTATTGGGAATCGAACTCAGGACCTTGTACTTGTGAGGCAGGTACCGCGCCACTGAGCTACATCCCTGGCAAATTTGAGACATTTGTAGGAAAATGGCTGCACCTGAAAAACAATATTGAATGAAATAAATCAGACATACAAGCTTAAATACCACACGGTGTCTTCATTTGAGTAAGGCACAGTACAGTACAAAGAGCACAATAAAGAATGGATAGGAGGCAAGGGGATAGATCTCTTGCAAATGGTAAGGGGTGCAAAAGAAAATAGGTGAGAAGCGAGGGGGAGGGAAAGGGAAAATAAGTAGAATAAAGATATGCCATTTATAGGGACTTAATAACCTAAAACATATAAACATGAGCTAAGATTAATAATATAAACAGGAATGAAAATTCGGAAAGGGGATTTATAGAAAGAAAAGAGGTAGGAAGGGGATTAAAAAAAAGCTGTATTATGTATTTGTATTATCTCCCCAAGATGACTGTAAACTCCGTGTACTATAAACATGTACCAATAAAAAAATAAAATTAGCTTACTGGATCTATGGACTTTAGTCTCCTATAACTTGTAAAAAAAACTTTATATTTTAAGGATATTAACTATTCATCTTTTACATGTTATATATTTATGGATGACTATTGTTACTGTGTTGCATGTCTAAAAACTTGCTTCATGTTGTTTCATTATAAAGTTAATTAAAATATTTATGTACTCAAATCTATCCAACTTTTCAATGGCACACTGTCAATAATCTAATGTTTAGAAAGGGGACCTGGGTCAAGATTATAAAATCTTCATTTTAGGGAAGCAACATTTAGTTTCATTTATTAAGTGTGAATCTTTAAACCATTTGGAATGTAGAAAAATGTAATGTAAAAAAAAAAATCGAATATTTTTCCCAAATATTTTCTCCAAATATTTCTTGACTATAGTCTTCTTTCACTACTGATTCTAAAGTTCCCCGTTAACGTATAAAGCAAATACATATACACAGTCACAGACATTCCCGTTGTGCTCCTCTGATCTATTCTGGTGAGCCAAATAAACTGTTTTACAGTGCCATTCTGTAACAAATTTTACTACACAGCAACTCCTTTTCTTTTTCAGAATCTTCCAATTTTCATATTTTATTTTCACTAATCACTTAAAAATAAACTGGTTTCTTTGGGTTTGAATTTCCTTTTTGTATCAATTTGGTGAAAAGATACATGAGAATTATATGTATAATGCTCCCAATTTTATAAAAAAATTGTTATTTCAAACATATATACACATGCGTAATTATCCAGACATATGGCAAAGTAGTAACAGTACTTATTTTAGGTGTCCTAGGTATCACCAATTTGTACTGTACCCCTTCTACTTCCCTCCCTGTTGTTTACTACCTTAGGCTTGCCAATTAGACTACATCAAAGGTTTTCCTTGCCTCCTGGTTTCCAGTCTTGCCAAAGGGAAATACCCAGCAAGAAACAGAAGGAAAAAGTGAAGTTAGGTACTTATTTGTCCTTGTCCTGGGTTCTCTCTTCAGGGTTGCTGTGAGCCGACTCCATCCTGAAGATCATAGCTGCTATCCGGAGGCCCTTTCCACACAGATGTATACCATTCCCATTACCCCTCCCCTGTTTCTCCAGAACATCTTCTGCTTCCCCTCTTCAACACTCTGTAGACTTCCCCTTTGCCTGGAAGTACTAACCGTTATGCTCTGAATTGCCCCACCATTCTTGTGTTGAAGTCCCCACCCTTAACAACTCGGAAAGTGAATGTTATTTGAAAATAGGGCCTTTAAAGAGATACTTAAGTTCAAATCAGGTCATTGAGGTAGGCCCTAATCCAATGACTGGTGTTCTTGTAAGATATTAAGACATAGGTAGAGAGAAAAGACTGTGAAGACACAGGGAGGAGACAGCCAGGTACAAGCCAAGAGAGGCCTTAAAAAAACAACTCTACCAATATCTTGAACCATCTTCCATCCTCCAGAACTGTGAGAGAAATTCTTGTTTATGCTACTCAGGCTATAACACTGTTATATCAGTAGAAGTGACTAATAAAACACCATGACCCTACTCTTCTACTGACAACTTGGGAGAAAAATCCTTTATTAATTGCCCTCAAATCCACTTATTTCTTGCTGGGACCCGGACTGACTCGATAGGGTTATACATGACTCCATTTCCATATTTGTTCAGAATTAATGTATTTCAAAATTTCTACAATAACCATGGAACACTTTTCTTCCTAAGGACATGAACAGTCATGAAAAAATTTGGACTGGGCAATTTTCATGTTAGATGGATTTATAAGCAATGGCATCTAACACTATCTCTTTTTTCCACATACCACCCCCTTCCACAGATCCTCACTTAAAATTCCCAAGGCTGCATCCAAGGGATTATAAAAGCAGAGGGAACATGATATTTGTGATCAAACTAGGGAAGTCTGCTATTCTTGGCTAAAAACCTACAAGTATTTTTGATAGATATAAATACCTAAAGTGGCTGGTTATCCATGCTTTCTTTGGTGGAAAAGAGCAAAGCTCTGTATACAAGGGACTGTTGGAGTACCCACTAAATGTCCCATTTTATTAGGCAGACTCACGGGGTAAGAAGCATCAGGAAAAAATTAACTCATATAAAGAGCACTAATAAGCAATCTACCCTGAAAGCCACACAGAGGGGAAAGAAGGCAAAATGGCCCTAAAGGGCATACTTGTGGTTCCCACACTCAGTGAGAAAAGGAATTTTTTCATTTGGAGTCATAACTCTCTTGTGATACTACCCATATTTCTCCTGAGTCAGTCTCAGGAACATTAAAAGCACACTGCAAAATTTCTTGCTTTGAAATTTAGAAACAAATTTTATTTAAGATCTGAAATACAATTCCTAAAATATCAACTTTGCCAGAAAACTGTGTCTACACAATAATGCATTGCCTCTATCATGTTAGAACGTGCATTAGACTCAAATACAAAAACCATGGAACAAATCACCATCCTTCAACAATTTGAGCAAAACCATGAAACAAACCACCATCCTTCAACAATTTGAGCCATAGAATGCCTAAGGAACAACACAGGTGGATTTGCAGAGGATGGACTGTTTTACTTCATTCAAGCACCATAAAAAAAAAAAGAGCACAAATGTATGGGTTTTCGGGTATATACATTAAGTTGAACCTTTGGCACTAGGAATCAGGGCGTTTTGTCACATAGCATTTAACACATATTAGAAAATTGTGTAGTGTCAAAGGGATAGAACCACCAGTATTTAAGCAATGTTGTCAACTAGGCAATAAAATGGTCTACTGAATGTTTTTTCTTTGTCTAATTACTGCACACACTGGTAGCAACTTCAAAATGAGGAAAGGAGATTGTACTCCTTTTATTTTCTGTTTAAAACAAAACAGAAAACAAACTGAAACATAAGCCCTGTTGTACACTGACAATTTTAAAGAACATCAATTATACAAGTAAAAGACTAGGAACAGAAAGTGTTTACAGATATCAGACATTAACAGTGAGTGGTCAGTAGACCCTCACAGGGCTTTGCGATGGTAGTCAGCAGAAGCCACTTTGTAATCACTGGCAGTAAACAGTGATGCAGAATTCTTTGCCAGATACTTTAGGAAATCATGCAAATAGCCCAACAACAATGCAAGGCTCTTCTCATCAAGAGGTGTATAGGCCAACATTGCACCTATTCTTACAAATAATCTCAATAGGTGTGGCGCTCCATAAACCTGGGACATTGGCGCATCAGGGTGAGCCAAGAGAATTTCAGCATATTGGGGCCTCTCAAATTTGTAGAGCAGCTGAGTGCCCAACATCACATTGAAATACTCTTTTATTCCTGCCACAACTTCATTAACTGCATATTCCTTATTATCAACATTCCCTTGTGACTTCTTACAATTTGCATA